GACGTGTCAACGCAATAACTTTTACAATACTTAAATGGATTGTCATCAAGTTGATATTTGGTATGTTGGTAGACTGGTATGCTGGAAATAATTAGATACTGGGCACCCTAGTGACTTGTTATGGTACTGATGTGGAACTTTCTGGTTCAATATCTCGTGATCTGGCGTAATGAAATGCTAAAATAGCCTTCTTTGTTCAGATAACTATCTTTGGGTGGAGAATATGATCAACTGATATAATTCCTACAAATGAGAATGTTATATGCATAATCAACTAGAAATATCAATAATTTGTTGGTCAGTTAGATTTTGAGTTGATTGCCAGGCATAACAGTAAACATAGCATTCACTTTCAAAACTTACACTGCAGTTTGTGGAAAATATACCTTTGAGAAGCAAACAGAAGCAATCAACGTTGTTACATGTACATAAAGTTACATCATTGCATCAATATAACAATACAATCATTGTATTTACTTTTACAGTTTGTCAACAATGCATGTTTACATGAAGCATGGTGCAGGTTCTCATACTGGCTCATTGTTGCTTGAATTCTATCAGAAAATGTTGCACATTGGTGCCATTAGCACTTACTGTAATGTACCACACATTTTCTCAGTAACACCTCCATAATAACATTTAAAGCAAGAAGCTGACCTACCATCATGAAACCTAGTCTCCAAGGCCATGTTAGCTAGTTTCCTGTTTGTCTTCCATTCCAAAATACATGGAGGGTAGGTACGTGGCAGCCCCTCATCCATCGCTGGAGAATGCAACATCTTGTGCTGACAGTGGGTGTTGTAGCCATTATACATACTGTTGGACACATGGCTGAAATGGACATGTAACGTTACATGATGTATACACGTCATGCAAGTAAGAGTTCCACTAATGTTGTGCATGGTCACACAATGCTTGGACTTAAATCTTTTGCCCATCAAGGCACATTTAATATTTACACTTTTTTACTACGTTGTACTTAATGAATGTTATTGTACTGTATGAAATTTAGTGGGGGAGGCCATATAAGGGGGAAGGTAATGGAAAAATTTTTGGCCACCTTAAAATTCCATGTAGTGCTCCTCAATATTAAGTGTTTCCAAAGTCCTCAATACCCATTCAGTGCTTTTAGTAACGATGGTTCATGAAACCCCCACAGCGTTTTGTTAGTAACAAGTACAATCTATTCCGAAAGCCCTCCTGTAGTGCTATTCAATATTAGGTGTTTTTAAAACCCCCATGTAGTGCTTAAAACCCCATACACTGCTTTTCGAATTCCCGTATAGCACTTTCAGGGATCACCCTGTCATTAGTCCAAATTTTCGTATATTTGACTAGATCCATGCCACCATGTATCTGTTTGAAAGGCGAAGCCACTGTGTATCTGTTCAAAGATTTTCGGTACATTTGTACCTACCCACACTACCCCGTATGTGCTTGGAGAGTGCAAATGTCAGGTCCTTTGGCCCCCAAAATTAAATTTTTTTTTTAAATGGTGGGGGTAAAGGAGAAACACAAGGGAAAACAATGTTTCTCATTAATATAACAGTTACTATGGTATGAAGTGACCATACTTGTATAACTAAAAATACAACAGTTACTGTTACAGTAACTGTTGAATAGCTATAGTACAGGAGCCAACTCCTGAAAGAGGCCTAGAAATGTGATTTCGTTCAACCCATCTTACAGAAAAGGTCTGACTTGACATTTTGGTAGAGGGGGTCCTTCTGAATCACAAACAATGATTTTTTTGGTCAAATTGTGGTATCACGCTCCCGCTAATTAAAGATGATGGTAATGAGCAATAAGCATACTTTTATGGGGGAAATCAAACATCAATATTTCTTCCTGAAATCTGGTACACTGGTAGATCTTGACATGAGGATTACAAAAATGTTAAATTTTTTTTTATATCTGACACCGTTCTGGAGATATAGCTAATTAATATACATTTTTAGGGGAATTTTTGCATAAATTATGTATATTTTACTTTCTTGATCTTTCTTAATTCATTTGTTCAAACAGTTGGGTCATTTCTTATACCTGAAATGGATGTAGCATATGATTCCTAGCATTTTGGTCTTTAAGTGATGAATATCCATCACGTTTCAGAGGGTTAAAATTTAAAATTTTTACGGGGGAGCATGCCAGCGCCCCCCCCCCAGGTTTGCCGCCCGCGCGGTTATAAGACCAGTGTTATATGCAGTGAATAAAACCTTGTTATGTAAGATGACTTTGTTTATCTGTTTTAGTAATTTGTCGTGTTGTTAAACCACAGCCACAGCCGGCGATGTCTGAAGACGAACTGAACCATGGCGCGGACTCCATCATCTCCCGAGACGGAAGGATGCCAACAACTAATCTCATGCAGCCTGTATTTGTACAAACCCACGGCCGGGGGTTTATGATACCAAGGGGGTTGGCTGCCAGGAGCACGATCTTTTTGACCAAGGTTTTAGCCAATAAACCTAGCCAACGTATTTTTACGATACGTTGTTACCAGTTGTGAAGTGCTCGCACACTGTTTACATACACTATACTGTCCCAATCTGCAAAATATAAAACTTCACGGAGAATTGTCGCCTATGACTACTTGTTGACTACTTGTTACAATAAAATTCATCACGGTTTCTGTTGGATGTTTGATCCACGGTCAGAATGTTTTCCGTTGTATCTTTTCCAACCTTTTAAAACTATAGACAGGACATCCTCCCTATACATGTATATGGGACAGGAGCTTTTATCATACATGTACGACCAGGCTAGGGTGGTTGAGATTTATTTGTAGGAACTTATGCCTATATAACGTATACTGTGTGTACTGGAAAAACTGTACCTGGTCCAGATGACAGGATGAAGAAAAGTTCTGAACAGGAACTGTGTGACTTCAGATGTCTTATTAATACTGAGGGATGACTGCCTGCCTGTGAAAACTATACAGTAAAAGTTGCTGCTAGGAAAGAACTGTACAAAATGAAAATTTAATACTGTTACTCACTTGAGAAGATATTTGTAGAGTGTAGGAGAGGGGAACCATGATGACAGACAGTTTGTCAGCAGAATCCAACCACGCTCATAGTTCAAGCTGACAAGGCCATCACCCCACGTCTGACTGCACAGCTGGCACAAAATCTCATCCCGCACAGCTTCATTTTTTAGACCCTGCACAAGAAGGAAATAATCTGTTCATCATTCTATCACAATTATGATCATAACAATACCTATTATATCTCCCCCCTCCCCGCCTCTGGAGAGATCTACAGCAGTGCTTTCCCTGTAGGGGGGCTACTCTGTCACTCTGTGAAGAGGATAATAAATTATGGTCAAAGTAGGTTGAACTAGCGAATTACATGAGACAAATAATATAAGATGTCTTGCAACGTGGAATAATTAGATCTACCAGCAACTCAATATATAATAAACTTTTAGTTGCATTTTGATGAAGTTATTGTTGACTGTCTTTTTTAGAAATTGATTTAAGTACAATAAATGGGCTCATGTCAGGACACTGTGAGTTCTGTGGACCCACATGTTACAGATTCTGAAGAAGATATTTTGTCTCCTGATAAAAATTCTCATCAAGATTCTTATTTACCTGATGCATTCTTTCAATTGTCTATGACATTACCACAATGAAGGAGTAAATCTTATTTATCCTCACCATCTGAACGATGTAGTTTCCCAGCAGTCTCTCCTTCTCCTCAGTCAGCCTGGTGTCCCCCATGAACCTGAGAATCTGGAGATAGAGCCATGAACTTAAGATGGTGGCCTGTGGGCAACAGTCCTTTTGTCATCTAGCTTTCTAAGAATTTAAAAAGACCTGCTAGTGGACTTCTCAATTTACAATGTATCCCTTGATGCTGAGAATGGCTTACTGTGATCTTCTGTATCTAATTAATTTTGCTTGTAGAAATATTGGAACATCAACTGATACCTAAATACATGTAGACTTACACTCATTACTTAACCCTTGACTTACATGTATTTTGTTCCTAGAAACATGTTATTCCTACCACAAAGATAACAATTTAGCATACTATTAGGAAAAAAGTAAAAACTAGTATATGGGAGATGAAATCAGCACCAACTTTAATTCTCTTGTAAACATTCTCTGCATAAGATACATTCTCAATAAACATTCTGTTACCTGTCTATTGAGGTTTCTGTTATCATTGGGTACCACATGTTACTGTACCCTAATTGTACCTGAGTGTGTATCTTTACAAACGTAGCGCTGGAAGATATTGCTCATAATAGTTCATTTAAAATCATAACTAAGTTTTGTCTTAAATCTTTCCCTTTTAATCGAAAGACTTTCAATTGTGTGGCAAAAAAATATTGGAAAATGATGTCTTATGTTATAGAATGCCAAAATCAATTCCAAAGGAAAAGAAGAAAACTATGAGATGAAAATGAAGAGAGAGTCTATTATTTGCCATAGCATGTGTGTTTCGTCATTATTTAATATTCCTGACCACCTAGATTTTATAATTTTATAATCATTATGAAGTGACTGTCTCATTTCCCGTCGGATGAACAGACGAATCACATGACCCCTACCCTGCTATACTAACTATTCCACCCACTGCACGAAAAACGATATTTAAGCATCCTTAATGGTGTTCGTAAATAAGGCTTAAATATTTCAAAATAATTAAGCATTATTTAAGTCACACTTAAGCCATCGTAAATGCCACAATCGGCAGGCAATCTTTACACTCTCTTAAAGAACAACGTAAAGTCTACTTAAACATAAACGTATCCTTACTTGATCTTTAAGGTCGCTTAATGTTGCAGTAAAGATAAAGCACTGATTTGCAGCAGTGTACTCCACATGTGTTCTTGACTACGTTTAAAACATAAAGACTTAGATAAGTATGACTTTGGCAGTTACTTTAAATTGTTTTAAATAAGATGCATTTAAGTGTGCGTAACGTTAGCTTAAAAATGAATATTTAAGCTTATATTAAGCTACGTAAATGGCCGACGTGCCGACGGCATGACCTCCCGTGACTGCACGGTAAATGGATTTAGACGGCCCAACGTGCACGGGCCAGCCTGGGCGTGGCTACGGCGACACCTCTTGTAACGGTACCGCGGGAAAGGTATGGACAAAGCCCCACGCGCCTGCTTGGGCGTGCCGACGGTATGACCTCCCGTGACGACACGGTAAATGGATCTAGACGGCCCTGCGCGCTTGCCCAGGTGCCGTCTGCAAATACCTGACCTGTACTGTACTAAAACAATAATCTCATCCGCTCCATACATCTCCCAAACAAGATTTTGAAATAGCGAATTCCTCAGTATTATATCGTTCGATTGCAGGTTATTGCAGACTTTTAGGGCGAATTCTCTGTTACTTAGAAGTTCGCAAGGATTTCTTGCCTAGCCTCGGGCACAAATGCCGGACAGGTCACACACGTACACCTACAGCACGTTACTTCATTTTCAGAATTTGTCCCTTTTTTCTCGCACTGTATGTACAGTAAGCTTGGCTACATTTTATTAGCCGTGGACATCACACATTTACGAACCTAAGTATGCTAGACAATTCCTTCTTTGGTGTCCTTTTCGTGTGTTTTAAAAAAATTACAAAAATGTAGTAAATGTTTCTGTCAAGCAATGCGCTACTGCCCGGTTAAAAAACCGGCCAGTTTTAGCAAATACCGGTCCTGTACTAAAACAATAATTTCATCCGCTCCATACATCTCCCAAACAAGATTTTAAAATAGCAAATTCCTCAGTATTATGTCATTCTATTGCAGTTTATTGCAGACTTTTAGGCCGAATTCTCTGTTACTTAAAAGTTCGCAAGGATTTCTAGCCCAGCCTAGCCTCGGACACAAATGCTGGAAACCCGGCCAGTTTTAACAAATACCCGACCGGTACTATATTAAAACAATAATCTCATCCGCTCCATACATCTCCCAAACAAGATTTTGAAATAGCGAATTCCTCAGTATTATATCGTTCTATTGCAGGTTATTGCAGACTTTTAGGGCGGAATTCTCTGTTACTTAGAAGTTCGCAAGGATTTCTTGCCTAGCCTAGCCTCGGACAAAAATGCTGGAAACCCGGCCAGTTTTAGCAAATACCGGTTCTGTACTAAAACAATAATTTCATCCGCTCCATACATCTCCCAAACAAGATTTTGAAATAGCGAATTCCTCAATATTATGTCGTCCCATTACAGGTTATTGCAGACTTTTAGGCAGATTTCTCTGTTACTTAGAAGTTCGCAAGGATTTCTTGCCTAGCCTAGCCTCGGACAAAAATGCTGGAAACCCGGCCAGTTTTAGCAAATACCGGTTCTGTACTAAA